TTTGTATTACGTTTTTTTCGTAGGAAGTTCCAAAAAATTTTCCGATATGTATTAGAAGGTCTAATTATATGTAACCCAAATTTTTGATAGTATTTCCATAAATTAAACAATTATAAAATATTTTTTGTTTTTTTTTCTGTGCTAGCTTCAAAGATGAATCCATTCTAATATTGGATAGTTCGTGATGTAAATGATATGTTGGTTTATTGTTTGTTTATTTTAATACTTCATTGCAGTACTTGATATTTCATTAACTGCTATAAATGCTTAATTTGATCAAATAAATTTTTTCGGGATGAATAAATAATCTATAATACAACTAGATCATAGATAAGCAGATCCTATTGTAATCAGATCGTTTAACCTAAAACTGCCGTAAATGATCATTTATTTTTTATCCGACCAGTGAATTTGTATAGTTTTGAACTATATTTAACCCTTATTTTTGTCCTATTTTCTTATTTGATTTTTTTTTTTTAAATTTCTTCTTCATTCAGTTCCATTTTCGGAAAGCACATGTGTACATTGCCATATTAATGGGAATATTCTTTCATTTCATGTAATTCTTAGACGAAAAAAAAAGTCAAAGACTGGCTTTATCTGTTGCATGTGTTAACAATAAAAGTAAACAATAATTCTTTGTTGCAATTAATCTCATTTATCAACTGATTACATGATCCTTTGTTCATACATCGAATGACTTTGTGACTCGTTTAAATTGTCACCCATAAGAAGTGTTCACTGAGCACCGCCTAACGAAGATGGTATGTAATATTGTAATTTATTACTTCAAACGGAAGTTACATTCTTCTCTTACACGATTATTTACTGGTAAGTAAACTCTCTATGAAGAACCTCCGCTTCGACAGTTTAACGATTGTCTTCTTCTCGACTGCGACTCATTCAACACCATAGTAATTCTTATTCAAACTTTGAAACGATTACTTCACTCATCAATAATCAAAAGGAAATCTTCGTCTATTGACCCTCTAATTGTCATATAGTATTATCATTAATCATTTATAGAGAATAAACTTGCAATTATTGATCCTACTAAAATCAAAAATGTTCACAACAATTGTATTTAATATTATAAAGGAATTTTTTCCTCGTTCTTTAGAAATGATGTAAAATTTAATGGAAATTATGCACTTTCTCAGTTCGCTTACTTCACTTCATTCATATATAAGTACAAGTACTTTACTTATTTTAACATCATTGTTAAACGATTCATTTTCAGCAAATTAATGCATCATAATTAATAATTACTTTTGCCAGTTAAGTAATGATTAACTGACAAACTTCATTGATCAAGGTAGAAAAAAAAATAATTCAATTAACAATTATTAGAATGGATTGCTCGAAGTAAGTGAAAAATTAGCAGACAGTATCGCAAAGCCGTTCTTGAGAATATTACACTGCAATGTATGATACTGTTGGTGTCACCTAATATTCCTTTTTTCGTCTTTTTTTTCATTCATTCATTCGATAATTACTTTTGAAATTAAAGAACTGAAGGTTTGGTGTTATATGTATATAAAATGTTGTAAATGAATAAAACTATTTGAAAATTGCTTGAAATTTTATGTTGTAAACCTCTAAACATTATACTACTATACATGGAAATGTGTATTAAGGGATTTTCGACATTTTCAGTCGTAATTGAAATTGATGTTTCTATCATTAAAGTGAGCAAGCAACAGTTTATTCTACTTTAGATGATGTTTACCCGAAAGAAAGTTGAAGGTTTGAATGAATTGGATGAATTGTTGAAAGATGTTAAATGTCGTGCTGTTATTTTGTTCACCGGCTCGAAAGATGATGGGAAAAGTTGGTGTCCAGATTGTGTTCGAGGTTCTTTTCCCTTCTTTTTCATTTCTCCTTACTTATCTTTCTTTATAGTATAGTTTCAGATATTTTTATTGGACTTAACTTTTTTTTCTTTTTCTCTCTAAAATTTTAAAATTTCAAATCTATTGCTTATTTTAGCGGAACCAATAATTGAAAAAGTCATTGAGGAAATTGTGTCTTCTGGTGATACTGATACGGATTTTGCATTTATCGAATGTGGTGTTGGACTACGAACAGAGTAAGCTTATCTTATGCTTTAATTTGAATAACAGTAATCCATACATTTTTTAAAGAGAATTTTGAAACCTTTCAGATTACTCTTATCAATGTACGACTAAAATGTTTCTAATTATCCTCTTTAATTATGGCAGTTTTAGCTGGAAAGACCAAACAAATGCATTCCGAACTGATGAAAGATTTAAACTGAAAGAAATTCCCACACTACTGGATTATAACAATAAGGTTTAAACTTCTTTTTTTTTAGAGAATATCTGTCATAAATTTGATTATGTAATTATTGTGCACATGAGACCGACCCTCGAATCTTACATATT